TGACCTCAGAGTGAAGACCAAGAAACCGCCATGTGATCTCAAGTGATCTCAAACTGACGTCCAAAGTGACCTCCAAGTGACGTCTAATCGTTGTGTTTATAAAAATAAAAAGTCCCCGAAATGCACTAAAATGCCAGATTAGGTCCTAAAACATGCTGCCAAGTGATTATTTTGTGTTTAAAAGTCCAAAAAGTATTTTTTATGAATATTTCAAAAGTCACCCAAAACACGCCTTACTATAGCCTTACCATCGTGAAAAAATCCAAAAAAATAAAAAGTCCCAGAAATGCCTTAAAATGCAAGATTAGGTCCTAAAACATGCTGCCAAGTGAATATTTTATTGAAAAAAAAATGTTCAAAAACGTTTTTTTTTTAAATTTCAAAACATTTTTTTCTAGCATTTAATAAAAAATGTTCCGTAGTTTTTTTCTAAAAAATGTCATTTTTTTATTTTCTATTTCTATTCACAAAATTTTGTTGGAAAAAAGAGATTTACACAAAAACTTCACATTTTGACAGAAAACTGTCTGAAATTGTTTCCTAAAAGCCTTAATTTTAGGAGAAACATGCAAAAAAAAGTTAACATTTTTAAAAATAATTTTACAAACATTTTCGTCACATTTTCACGAAATGTCTTTGTAGACATTTTTCAAACCTTTTTTTTCTAAATTCTTTTTAACAAATTAAAAAAAAAATCTATATTTAAAAAAAAAATCCCAACATTTTTTTTCTAAAAATGTTAAAAAAACATTTTTAGAAAAAGATGTTTCCCAAAAAAGTTTTACAAAAATTCCCTAACATTTAAAAAAAAAAATTCCATTGTTTATTTTAAAAAATTTTGAATTTTTTTTTCAAAATTTTTATCACTCTTATATCATCATTACGTTATTTTTAATACATTTTAATTCATCTTGATTCTTGTTCATTTGGTGATAGCTATTATTACCACTCAAGCAGTGATATAACCTTCATTAGTTTTAGTGTTTATGCATGAATCTTGAAATAATTTGGTTTCCCGAAAAATAGTACAACTACCGCTAGTAACTCAGATAAAAAAGACTTTTGTTCAAGAGCATTACTAGAAACTGTCGCAAATGTCTTGGCTGGATCTTTTGCGCCGTTGATCAAAAGACCTTTCCCCTGTGCTCTGTGGCCAAATCGAATAAATACCAAGGAAATTCTGCTATTTGATTAAAGTACTTCCTTCACATGACAATATTGTATCTTACAAAATGTTACAGTTGTCTTAGAAGTCAGGGATTTGAACAAGATACTTGTCTATTTTTTCTGAATTTTAACCATAAAAAAGGACATTGCTACACATTTGGGAGCAAGGTAGTGCATTTTTCATCATCATTCAATTTGGGTTTTTGTTATTTTTGAAGACTGTAACAGAAGAAAAAAAAAAAAGAAAGAACGTGAACTACTTGTCATTGTGACACAGCACATCACTGCACACA